GAGGGAGGGAGGGAGGGAGGGAGAGAGGAAAAAAGAGAGAAAGATTTGAAGATGTAATTACTAAAAAGTTCCCTAATCTGTCAAAGGAAATAGACATACAAGTCCAGAAAGTGCAGAGTTCCAAATAAGATGAAATCAGAGACCCACACCAAAACACATATCAGCAAAAAAGAAAAAGAAAACAAAAATCATGGACATGGACAATAGTGCAGTGATTGCTGGGGGGAGAGTCATGAGGAGGAGGTTGAGGAGAGTATAGGGGAGATAAAAAAGCAAGCAAAAGAAAACAAAAATGACAAAGGATGATCTTAAAAGCAGCAAGAGAAAAGGTAGCTCCTATAAGACTGTCAACTGATTTCTCAAGAGAAACTTTGCAGGCTAAAAGAGACTGGCACACCTGAAAGAAAAATAATATTGGATATAAACTGTAATTGGAAAATAAAAGAAAAACACAAGAACCTATAACTAAGATTACTCTACCCAGGAAAACTATCCTTTAGAATCAAAGGAGAGATGAAATGTTTCACAGGCAAGAAAAGGCAGAAAGAGTTCACTACTATCAAACTGTTATTACCAAAAATATTTAGGAGATCTCTTTAAGAAGAAAAACAAATTTTTTTAATAACTAAGAAAAGATAGGAAAGAAAAAATTTCTCACTGACAAAGGCAAACATATAATAAAAGCGATAGGTCAACTAACACAAAAGCTAGTACAAAGGTTAAAATGAAAGAACATATAACAATCCTAAGCATGTATGTGCCTATAAAGAGATCATTAAACTGCTGAGCCAAAATCTGATAGAACTACAAGGAGAAAATCAATGAACGCATTATTATAGCTGGAGGTGTCAGCATCTTTCTAGCAGAAAAGGACAATTCCAGCAGGCAGAAGATCAGTGTAGACTGATCTAAACTGATCTAAATTGTTGAACTAAACAATACTATCAATTAACTGTACATAAGACATTTATGGATTATTTCATCTAACAGAAGCAGAACACATTCTTTCAAGTTGACCTGGAACTTTCACCAAGGTGGATCACATTCTGGGCCACAAAACACAATTTAACAAGAATGCCAAATGAAACAGGGAAAGCAACATGGCATCATGCTTCATGGTATGCATATATGTCTTGATCATTTTTTTAAAATATATTTTATTGATTTTTTACAGAGAGAAAGGGAGAGGGATAGAGTTAGAAACATCGATGAGAGAGAAACGTCCATCAGCTGCCTCCTGCACACCCCCTACTGGGAATGTGCCTGCAACCAAGGTACATACCCTTGACCGGAATCGAACCTGGGACCCTTGAGTCCACAGGCCGACGCTCTATCCACTGAGCCAAACCAGTTAGGGCTGTGTTGATCATTTTTACATCTAGCTACAATGAAGACTTAGATTACATAATGGGTAGTTAGTATAAAAGTCTTATGTTATGCCACAGGACTAAAAATAAAGTTCATTCTTCCCAAATAGTGAAAATAAGATATCCTTCATGTTTTTGTCACATATGTTTTCTCACTCAATCATGCCTCCTTTTCCCCCCATTGTAAATGAAATAATGTCCAACATTTTATTAAACAATCATGAGAGTGTGGGCAATTCCTGGGCCACTGAGGCCTAGAAAAGATGATGAGACCAGAATCTTGTAATTAATTGCAGAAATACGCTCCTGATACGTTCAATACATGGTAAAAAATATTTGTAAAAGACAAATATAAATATCTTCTCAGTTATTGGAAAATCCAAAGTCCAGCTGTACCTTATTCCAGAGATGGTCTTGGATATGCGTAAAGCCTGTCTCTTGAATAGGTACAGCCACTAACCGATATCTCGATATCTAGAGTATTCCCCACCAAACTGAGCCAACTGCTGTGTTATGCTTGGCCAGGAAGACATGGAAGGGTTTGGGGGTTCTTCTCAAGGGAGGCACCCAATCCAGGCTCCAGCCTGGGCTGCCCCAAGCCGCTCCTCACCCTTCCTGGGAGGCAGTGGCCTGTCCTGGATGGAGGGAAAAGAGTGGAGCTTCGTCCCTTGCCCCTCATCCCGAATGGGTGCTGCGCTTCTCCGGCTGCACTAAAGGGCTCCCGCGCTCTCTGGGATGCGGGCAGCAGGCACTTACTAATGACCGCCATCTGGGTGCAGGGGAACATCTTTCCAAGGTGCGTCCCGGCCTAGTCGGCTGCAGTTGCCCCGCCGCGCTGCCTAATGTTGCCTTGAACTGAACCAAAGGTGGGGAAACTCAGGATCCAGGGGGAGAGCGGGTCCCCAACCCAGTCGCCGGGCGGTTGGGCGGTTGGGCGGTTGGGCGGTTGGGCGGTTAGGCCTGGTGGCAGTTGTTGGCGG